GTCCTTTATTCCATCACTGCAGCAGCGAATCCGTGATCTGATGTCTGCTGCCACAAGCCCGCGGGCTATTCAGCTTGGAATGAAACCTGTTTTCATTCTCCTTAGATCTCAACAAAGACATATCGGCAAGGCAACCATCGCAACGCGAGCGTGCTCAGATATCGGCCTGCACACATTCCCCATCGATGCGTACGATATCTTGACAGAAGGTGGCGCGAATGGTGGCGATGTTAAGACCGAGGCATACCTCAAAGCCCGGGCAGAACGGGCTTTACACTGCGGAGCAAATTGCACCGCATTACTGATTAGACATATCGAGGTCCTAACCGCTGATCGCATTGTCACAGCAATGAACGATATCTTGAACGATGCCAGAGTTGTCATTGCAACTACCACTGATGTTGAAACTATCCCTGAAGGTATCCGCAGCCTCATCACCCATGAGTTCGAGATGGGTGCCCCGGAGGAGAAAGAGCGTGAAGGCATTCTGCGAAATGCCGTCGCAGAGCGCAGTATCAGACTATCCGCGGACGTGGAACTGGGCACCATTGCTCTGAAGACCGCAGCTCTTGTTGCAGGAGACCTGGTTGACGTTGTTGAACGGGCTGCCGGGGCGAGAACAGCTCGCCTCGAAAGTCTAGCCGAGGCTAGCAAGAAGCTTTCCGGATCGGAGGTCTTCGTCAGAGACGTCCTGCTGGCAGGAGGCGACGGTGCACGAGGTGTCACTAAGGCAGACTTTGACGCCGCTGTAGAAGCTGCGCGGAAGAACTTCGCTGATTCAATCGGCGCACCTAAGATTCCGAACGTTGGCTGGGATGATGTTGGTGGATTGACTAACGTTAAGGATGCCTTGGTCGAGACCATTCAGCTGCCGCTCGAACGACCCGAGCTCTTCGCCAAGGGAATGAAGAAGCGCAGTGGTATCTTGTTCTATGGCCCGCCCGGCACCGGAAAGACCCTCCTCGCCAAGGCCATTGCCACTGAGTTCTCTCTCAACTTCTTCTCCGTAAAAGGCCCCGAACTGCTTAATATGTACATTGGTGAATCCGAGGCAAACGTGCGTCGAGTATTCCAGCGCGCTCGAGATGCTCGCCCCTGCGTTGTGTTCTTTGATGAGCTGGATTCCGTTGCGCCCAAGCGTGGTAACCAGGGAGACAGCGGTGGTGTTATGGACCGTATCGTCAGTCAGCTGCTCGCAGAACTGGATGGAATGAATGGCGGCGAGGAGAATAGCGGTGGAGTGTTCGTCATCGGTGCGACCAACCGTCCTGATTTGCTTGACACTGCGCTTCTCCGCCCTGGTCGCTTCGACAAGATGCTCTACCTGGGCGTGTCAGATACGCATAGGAAGCAGGCGACTATCCTTGAGGCTCTGACCCGGAAGTTCGCTCTCCACCCCGATGTCTCACTTGACCGCGTTGCGGAACAGCTTCCTTTGACTTATACTGGTGCTGACCTGTATGCACTCTGCTCTGATGCCATGCTAAAGGCTATCACCAGAAAGGCCACTGCAGTTGACGAGAAGATCAAGACTCTACCTAATGGTCCCGTTAGCACTGCTTGGTTCTTTGACCACCTCGCCACGAAGGAGGATGTGAATGTGATGGTAACAGAGGAGGATTTCCTGTCTGCTCAAGGAGAGCTTGTGCCAAGTGTTAGGTACGTGTTCACTCCATTTCCCATCCTACCCTACCTTTTATCTCCTCCTCTTGGTGATATACCATGATACTAATCCCTCGCAGTGCCAAGGAACTTGAACATTTCGAGCGCATCCGCCAAACCTTCGAAGCAGTGGACAAGTCAAAGCAAGACCCCGCCGCTGCCGCGCCACAGACAATCGCAGAGGCAATGGAGGCATTCAACCTGGGCGGCTCGGCCACACTAGACGAGACCCCGGCCACGAATGGTGACAGTAACACAACCGAGAGTCTTCACGGTCGTATCAAAGGCCTGACCAAATGGCCAGGCAACCTTGTCCGCAGTGCCAGCGGCCAGTCAACAACCAGCAGCAAAGGTAAAGGAAAGAGCGTGAGCAAGAAGGGAAAGTCCCGCACCGGTGCGGAATCTGATGGATCCGTTGATGGCGACGATGAGGACATGGCAAATAGTGCCAATGCCCAAGATGACGAAGACGAAGATGATTACGTCGTTCGGACTGATCACTTGATGAACCCCATGGAGGAGGTTGAATAGAAAGTCTGGCACTGTCTGTATATTTCAAGTGCCGGCACTGTTCAGCTGGTCGACCAGACGGCCTTTGTATCTACTATGCTGATTTGATATACCTATTGCTTATCTGTACATGTCTAATTCTTTTCTCTGCTATTACCACATCCGTAGCCCCTCACAATGAGCGCACGTAGGCCAACGCTGCGGTGCTAGAACTAGATGAAATCCTGACTTCTTTCAACGCACGACTCACTCTTGATTGCATCAGATTGGCAAGGATATCGTATTGTCATTCCGAGGTTCTTTGTGATCACAGTATTCCAAGGTTGTTGCCTGTCACGACGCTGTCGCGCCACAGTTGGACTTCAAATTAAGGTTAGCCATTGATATTGAGCCACCATTATCCACGCATCTACGAACATTACCATGGGTATCTCTAGGCATTTTCAAGCTTATCCAGGAGAACTTAACCTATTTACCCCATGGCATCTTCCTTGTTGCCGTTGCAGGCATCGCCCTCGTCCGCAGGTCCTTATTATTGTCTGTCGAAACAAAAGCAATTGCGTGTACCAGGATATATTCCTTCTAAACATCACCATTTATATATTGATACATACGTGGTTCGTTCCGCTTATCGTGAGAACGGGACGCCCAGAAATGTAATACCTTTTACTTTTAGGGCGATCACAACCAATCAACCGCAAAGTTAGCTGCTTGTCATCGTTAGGTGCGGTGCATTCATATCGATAGAGGTCTAGTTCTCATCGATCCAATCAAAACTCCCGTACCACACGCAAAACAAGCCCCCAGCTTTCATGGTGCATATGGTGCACGGAAAGTTACCCACTGGTGAATGTAGTTTGCTTCATATATTTCTAGTATAGAGTCACAAGTCCTGACTAGGTGCTATTTAGTCATGATACTGTGATGTTTTCGTATACTTGCCCTCTAGCGTTAGACCTCTTGATTCTCTTACAATAAATCGGGAAGTAAGAGAAACCTGATAGAAGATAAACCCGAGAAAGTGAAGGGGAGGTCATGGATATGTGTGGTATAAATTATACACCGTAAGCAATCAATATAGTGACTACAGTCGTAATGAGGAACCTCCATTGCTACATAGGTCTTGAGAGAAATCGTACATAATGACCATAATTGCTTAGCTAAATAGTAGTCTGACACTATACTTCACTCATGGGGTATATAAACTTCCCAGTGTTCCTCTTCCTTCTTGTTCCTCCACCTTCCCGCATAATCCATCATCTCCTCGGCTTTGGCTCAATATTAAGCTGTCTTGATTATCTTTCTGTTATTCCTTTCAAGATCTCCTATAGCACAACACATTCACGGACTAAGCATGCCCTTCTTTATGCAATGCAGACATAGCGACATAGATTGAGTGAGAGCGGGAGGTTTGCTTCAGTTGCCCCTCGTGTGCTAAGAGCCCAAGAACGGCGATGATCAAGTTCTTATTGACGCTAACTTCAAGCGATCAAGAGCCCACGATTTGTAGGAAGCCTAGAGCATCCCGGCACCAAGTGACCAGAGCATGTATCGTTTCGAGTCCCGTCCACTAAGTATCAATCATCTCTTCATTCTTCCCCTCCTACTTCTCAGCTTCTGAAATTAATGGTCTCTTTGGACCACATGGCCTATATACACTGCAACCAGCCTTCTTGTCTGTATCACTAGACTAAGGATATCACTTTTGAAAACAACCTTGCCAACTCATTGGTTTCGGGGTGTTTTAGACCTCTAGCGGGTCGTAACCATTTCTCCATTAGTAACAGTTCATTTATTTTGGACTTCCCTTCACAGTAGACTCACTTTGAGCTAGAGAAATACCACCCCCCTCATCGTCTTATAACAGTCCCGGGGTACTCTTCAGCATTCAAAGTGTCCACTTGTTCAGGAGGCGCAAAGTACTGGATTCCTTGACAAATTTGTTCGCAGAACGGCAGCCCAACGAAAATTCCAAGATATCGACCTTAGAATTAGTCTCATTGTCTTAATAATCATATCACGGATTTCTTTTCGCAATTAGTCCGAGTTTTCCAGACTATGTATCTCGGAGTCATTCCATACACGTTCCGGTTGGCAGATTCCTTTTCCAAGGAGCACGTTCAAGGTGAAATCTCCAATGGGGATGGAGACCTCGTTGCAAAGCAACTCGATCACCCCATTATCGTGTATAGTAACCTCCCTTCAAGGGCTCATCCATCTCTTTGTAGTGGGCTCCAGCCCAAGCTGTACCATCCCAGGAGTCAGTGTATGTTGACACCCATGCACTCACTCCGGATATGCCCAAGCAGATCAGAGCGAGAGCGCAAATGAGAGGCTGGATAGTCTAGGATGACCTCTAACTGGGCTTTGTTCATAATCACGAACTCACTGAAAGCCTCGCCCCCAAACAATGTAGTGTATCATAAATAAATTTGGCAAAGTATCACTTCTCACCTAGCTGGAATCGCGTTTGCCATGCCAGCCCGCAGTCTCGCACTTTCCGGTTCACTTCCCTCCACAAATTGGGGTTTGTGTCTCTTTCTCCTTGTCACTTCCTCTCCTCACCTTTTCTCTTCACATTTTCCTTCCTTCTCAATATCTTTTTATCCATTGCCCACCCTTCTCAGCCCAAGGGTTTGTGTTTATCAGGTTGAGTTATCATCCACATAGAGTGTTTATCACATCACTGACACAATACTGACAGTATTCTTCCATTCGTTAACCGCACGTGTTTTTCACGCGTTTCTCTAACCGGAGGCATCTCTTACTGTGTTCTCTCCAACACATTCAATCTCACATTCGTGTGATTTGCATGCTGTCTCGCCACAATGAATCTCACGCTCGACCCGGAGCAGTTGTCCTGGGGACGGGATTTTGCCAACAGCCGGGAGCCCGCCAAGATGCTCAAAATCATTGCGAAGAGCCCACGTACCCTGGAAACTGGAATCGTTGATATCGAGGTGCGGCCTGTGCCGAAGGCCATCAGACCCAAGGAGAAGGCCACGGAGGACTTGGGAAATATGAGATGTCTCCCGAACGAAATCTTCGACATGATTGTCAACAAATTGGACGTGCCTAGTGCCATAAGTCTGTCATACGTCAACCGCATCGCCAATCAGCTTGTGCAGAAAAGCCCAGTTGCATTTCTGAGGCAGTGGGCCCCCGGCATGCCGAAGATCCTCAAAAAGACTCAGATCTATGAGAACTGGTCCATTCATGAGCTTAAGGAGGCAATTTTGCGTGAAAAGTGCGTAGTATGCGGCGCGTCGTCCGTTCAACTCTACCTACCTACAATGGAGCGTATCTGCCACCCTTGCCTGCACGAAAACCATTCATACTGGTGTCTCCCCATCGAAAAGGCAGCCATAATATTTGGCCTTGATCTACCCGATCTCATTAATACCCAAACCGTGTACCTGCCGCGGCTGAGCAATAATAATTTCGATTTGGGAAATCTTGGCGCTTGGGTTGTTCCTGTCAAATTGGCACTGACCAAAGCCCTGCAGCTGTACGGCACCCGCAAGGGTATTAAGCATGCTGTGGAGGGCACCGCATCAAGTACTGATGGAGAAGAAGAAACTGACATCACCGATGATGATGATGATGACGAAGAATTTGTGGTCGAAAACCAACATGACATTTATCGCGCTGCTCCCCTGGATTCACCCAATTCCGTCAAACTGCGTTTGCTCATCTCAATGGGAAATTATCATCAGCATGCTCACCACCATGAAGTTGCCTGTCGGGTTCCTGTCGCCAATCGAGACAATACGCGCAAAATTCTTTACTCGTGCCGTGGTTGCACTGCTATGCTCACGCACCCCAAGACGGAATCAATTTCCGACAGCCATATGGAGATGATGAAACTTGACCCCGCGCTTAACAAGTATGAGCGATCGTTTGCGATCTTTCGTCGCGCCTTTACTGTGTGGACTGAGGCCGATATGATTGAGCATATTCGAACCGAGTGCATTGGGGGTTGGTTCTTGCTGCATGCCGAGGGACAGAATGAGTAATCATATGTGGCTCTATCATCCTGGATGCAAGAAGTGATGCCAGCCAGGTCTCATTGTCTCTTAAAACATTGTGATGGACAGGGGAGTTGGAGGAACAGTGGGTCAAAGGGGCTCTTGGGTCATTTACATGTGCTTACTGAAGCAAGCCATGACCTGCCATTTGAACAAATGAAGTTTGGGAATTTTCAGTTCGAAATTTCCATGGATGATGTCAAGATGTGGTTTGGGGATGGCCAATGTATGCACATGTGTGCTTTCTACATCCTAGGATAACGAAAGGGGCAAATTTGTTTTTGTTTTATGTGCCTTTCGATTCTCATTGTTGATTTCATTATCTTCCCTTTCCTTTTCTCTCGCGGTAACCCTCCTAAAAAATGACTGGCATGATATCTATGTTTCACTTTGTGAGTGGAGTGTGATTTAAAACACTCTTAGAGAACATTGCGTATTCCGAAGAACAAAACATAGATTCTCAGTCATAAGAGATGATACGCTCGGAGCACACTTGGGCACTTGAATAAGGCCAAGGTCAAATATGGAACCACACTTTTCCTCGAAGGGTACTGATAGACAATTTAATATGTGGCGGATAAGAAAGAGCATCGGAGTCCACCCGATGAAAGAGATATCTTTTTACATAGGAGTATTTGTCTCTAGAGATAACCTTCGAAGGTTTACGGCCCACCGCTCCACATAAATTTGTTTCCCTTGCCATCTTGGCTCAATTCACTCAAACAGGGGCAAATACCGTACCCTACAACAATAAGTAAAGCCAAGGATGCTAGCCAAGCCCTTGGAAGCAATATATCTTGATTGATCATGCACATCCCACACTATATTTTCGCCATTTATCCGTCTCCAAAGATCGTCCACTTCCCCCAGTAACTTTCCCTCCCGGTAGTCAAGTATGTGGGTCCAAATTCAACCAATCATAAGTTGACCAGGGCATAAGCACTGGGGCTGCCGCCGCAAGCCATGGATCGTCGGTCCGCGACAATCCAACCTTGGAAGGGCCCGATCTGCTTGTAGCTTGTGACTGGCTGAAATCACCGTTCTCGGTCCGCCGGGCCAGTCACAGACACGGCCGGTTATCTTCTTCTGAACGCCCAAGGTTCCATACCCCAAATCATTTACCTAACACTACTCCGTACTCGGTCTACTCCCCCGCGGGGAGCCAACGGTAGTGCAGAGCACTGGGAAGACCGGGCTTAGAAATTGATATTCGAAAACCCGTCATATCATTCTGCTCGGGGCCTGCTTAAGATCCCTGTTCCTCCTTGTCTGACCTTTTTTATTTTCTTTTCATCACTTGTTGCACGTGGTACAAAGCACTTACCATGGACAAAGACGAATACAATAGCGATGATGCTCAGCTGGCCCAGCTGGGCCATAGGTCTGAGCTGAAGCGAAACTTCTCCATGATGTATGTGCTATGATTGAACACGAATTTCTGGATTATGCTAACCTCTGTGTTCGTTCTCAAAAGTTCCATGTTGGGTCTTGCTTTTGCCATTCTAAATGTACGTGACGCGACCGGCAGTATACCAAATTCCATATGGATCAACAATTAACACTGAACAGTCATGGACCGCTTTGTCGGCAAGTTTGGGACTCAGTTTATCCTCGGGAGGCAGCGCGAGTGTTGTCTGGGGTATGTATTCGCTCGACTTTCTGTCAAGATCTAGAGCTGACACGAATCCCAATAGGTCTTATTACAGCAGGAATCTGTAATTTATGCATGGCCACTTCCCTGGCCGAGTTTCTTTCTGCATACCCGACCGCAGGTGGCCAATATCATTGGGTCGCTGTGACTTCATGGAGAAAATGGATGCCGATTCTTTCCTGGATTACGGGCTGGATCAACTGCTCTGGCTGGGTTGCGCTGGTCGCAACTGGTGGTCTCTTGGGCAGTCAGCTCATCCAGGGTGTGATCTCTCTCATGAACCCGGTAAGTTATTCTAGCCTACAACATTGATATATTTGGCTGACCTTCACATCCAGAGCTATAACCCCCAGCGCTGGCACCAATTCCTAATCTACTGCGGCTACAACATTGTTGCCTTCCTCGTCAACGCCTTCATGAACAACCTTATGCCTTATGTCACCAAGGGAGCTTGTGAGATACCCTATATCGAGCTGTCGGAGATCTTATACTAATTCCCACAGTCCTCTGGTCACTGACAGGATTTGCCGTCATTTGTATCACCATACTTTCATGTGCCTCGCCGAATTATAACTCCGGAAAGTATGTATTATCTGGTCGACACTTCCCTAGACGCCAAATGACTGACGGAGAACAGGTTCGTCTTCACCGATTTCATTAACCAAACAGGATGTAAGTTTCCCCTATCATTATATATGTTTCTTGAACTGACTCTTGTAGGGCCTGATGGAGTTGCGTGGTTGCTTGGGGTATGTCGTTGATACAAACATTCATGAGCATGTCTAACATATTCATAGCTTCTTCAAGGAGGCCTTGGTGTTACTGGCTTTGATGGTGTCGCCCACATGATTGAAGGTAACTTCCAGAATTTCATACCTTAATCATGAGTCTGAGGCTAATGGACTACAGAAATCCCCAACCCTTCGGTTGAGGGACCCAAGATCATGATTGCTTGTGTCCTTATCGGTACTTTCACTGGAGCAATCTTCCTTATTGTACTGCTCTTTGTGGCTGGCGATATCAACAAAATTATTGACTCCGCGGCAACTCCGCTCCTTGCAATCCTGAAGAATGCCACTTCGAGCAATGCCGGCGCTATCTGTCTCTTGATGTAGGCCTCACTGCTCTTCTGCCGCTTTCTTGTTGTACTGACACCATCTCAAGCTTCCCCCTAGTCTGCGTTCTGTTCGCTGCTATCGCTATTATGACCACTAGCAGTCGTATGGTCTATGCCTTCGCGCGGTACGTTATTATCGACATTTGATCTTCAAAATTAGTCATTATACTGATACTACTTATAGTGATGGCGGTCTCCCCGCATCTCCCTTCTTCTCTCGCATTCACCCCAAGCTAAACGTCCCCTTGAACTCGCTATATCTCAACCTGGCTCTCGTCACTATCTTCGGGTGTATCTTTTTGGGCTCGTCCAGGTAAGCATATGTATAACGTTTTATCCTGGATCTTGCTAACATCTCCAAGCGCTTTCAATGCTATTGTCTCAGCATCAGTGGTGCTGCTTGGCATCTCATATGGAATGCCAATTGCAGTGAACTGCTGTCGAGGAAGAAGGATGCTACCTGAGCGCTCATTCGTCCTGCCAGAAATCGTTGGCTGGACCGTCAACTTCGTATGAGATCCTCCCCTACGGTTTCATCGAAACTATTACTAACTAGATACTTCTCAGATCTCGTTGGCGTACATTGCCCTGACTACTGTCCTCTTTCTCTTCCCCCCTGAGCTGCCTGCTACTGGTAGCAACATGAGTGAGTTGGCTCTCTCTTTTCGTGATGCAAAAACACAAAGTTAATTCGATATGACAGATTACTGTGTTGCGGCATTTGGTATTGTCTTTGTCGTTTCCGTCGTCCAGTGGATTGTAGATGGACGCAAGAATTTCGTCGGTCCCCGTATAACGGTGGAAGTCTTCACTGGAGAGGCTGGTGCTCAGCCAGAGCAGCCGATTCCAGTTGTTGAACAACATAAGGATTAACCCTCCAGATTTCCAGGATATATTACATATAATGTGACTCGATGGCGCAAAATCTAGTATTTCCAAATAGAATACCTCGCAAGCCAGGCAGCTATCTCTCGAAAACCTTGGAATGATAAAAGCGTCCTTGTCTAAAATTTGATAACCATTAGTATGTGCATCAAAATAGTGGAATTGTATGTTTGCTTTTGGAGCAAGCTGAATATGTAGCCGCCTGATGGAACCTTTGGAATTTATTCGGATGTCATGTGATCAGATTGATAACCCAAAGTTTCCTACGTCATCCATGGGTATCAACTTCTGCTTCACGTGATAGTTTCCCAACAATCCCATCCAAACAACTACATACAGCCTCACTCGTCGTCACAATGTTTACTGTTCGGTGGCCATCATTGCCATCTCTTGGCTTGTTTTCATCTTCGCCCACCCAGGCGATTGATCTGCCACCGGTCACCGTCCATGAAACCGAGACAGCTCAAGACAAGCCGGCCCGGGCATTCAAGCACCTACTGAAATTGAACCATGTGGAGAACTCGCTATTCGATTGTCGGAACTTCCCTAATCAGTTAATACACGTGAGTGATCTGCATTGCCTTCGTAACAGGGGCTTTCTATGTATGCATTCCTCGTCATTGGTCCATGTCATTGACCTGCTTGCAGCTCTTGAGCTCCTCCTTTCTGCAAGGCGCAGACGCCGATACTTTAGGCCGCATATATGAGGAGGAAGTGTCTGACCTGGTTAAATGGAAGGAATCACCGGCTGAAATCACTACTCTTGACTGGCGAGGCCACCTGGGATGTCGAGGGTGGGTTGCCGGACTTGTCTCGGCCTTTTTTCCGCTTGGGACTTTTCGTTAACACTAAGCAGATTTGATCGAGCGTTCGTGGATTTCTTTGAAGATGAAATGGTCCACCTCAGCTATGACTGGAAGGAAGTCGTGGCAGAGTACCTGTTTACCGGCAAAGAGCCCATGTTTGATTCAATAATGGCTTCTCGTATGTTTCAATGCTCATCGAGAAGGCTAGGCTTGACTTTGCGCGTGCTAACTACCTGTATAGTCGGATTGCCATTGATCCATCTTGCGTACGCCTTTGAAATGGACAGTCGTGAAATCGCAATGGAAGCACTCGGGCTCGCAGCAACCTGCCACAATGACATATACAAGTCCTTGGAGGACCCTAAACACTCGAAAAATGAGGAACCGTATGAATCAAAGTCACTCTTTGCAATCCTTGACCTGGTCCGGAAAGATAAGGACTTAGATGGCCTCTTTCCCACTCCGGGCAGCGATAACCTCGATACCCTTTTCGTCAGCCGAAACGCCGTGCTTCTTAACCACTGGAAGG